TTTTTATTAGACAATTTTGACAAAGTCATTTGGTAAAACTATGCTCTTATGCAGTTGATTATAGGCTTCTCTTTCCTTGAGATTGGAAAGATCACATTAGAACACAAATATGAGGCTGGATGGTACATCTCATGGAGTATTTGCAACTTTTCTATTAGAGGTACACTTTGTCCGCCTAAAGGGCGAAATGTGTGACCGGCCGTAATATTTTTTATCAAAGAACAAAACTTCTTGTTCCCTATCCTGCACTTAAACCCAAATCCTCCAATAAAGAAAGAAAATACTTATAGTTAACCTCCTTCAGGAATAATAACCTCTTGTTATTCAGGATTACTTTCCAAAGATTTTGATCCTTCAATTGTGGAATTCAAATCACCAACTTAATTGCATGAACTTATTGCAAACCTTTATTAAAATTCCTACGTACGTACATTGAGAGTTTAAAGGTACCTGTTCACTCATGGCAGATGACCTAATCAATGAAAATAAACACTATAATATTCCAACTAATTTTTACCCGTAATGCATTCACTCCTCTCTTATGAAAGATTTTTAAGTAATTGATGAAGTACTTAAATTAGCTTTGGACCACCCCTGATCAAGGGTTATCTGCCATGCATGTAATTAAGAGCTGGAACTTTTTTCTCCTCCAAGAACTCCATTTATGAATAAGAAAATAATAGTAATATTAATTAAAAACAAAACAATAATATAGACAATCTACAGTATTTGGATGTTGGCATGATCGCAATATGGTCAGTGAATATAACCCCAGTTATAATGGTTTTGTATCAAGACATTAGCGGCACACTGACTCTAAATAAGCATCCATTGAACCACACATCATACCATACAGTAATCGTCTTTACACACATTAAAAAAGCTTGAAATGATTTACTTTGCTTTTGGTGTTTCAATCGTCAATTTCTGTTGTGTAAAGTGATACATTTGGGCAGCCATCACACTCGCACCTTTAAATGCAACGAAGACCAGCTAGAATACATGTACATTTGCTGCCTTCTTTACAGTTACTGTCCCTACAATAAAGATGAGATATGTCTCTGACTTCCACTGGGGCAGATTCCTGTGCAGTCCAACAGAATCACAAAACTTTCCATGGTTCACAGGATCAACCAGCTCTGGCTTTGGGACGTGGCTTTGACACCAAAGCATAGTTTGGTATGTGGCTCAGAGGGCATGCTGCTTAAAAGCATCTTCTGTGGGAGGCAAATGAGTAGCTGGTTTGTCTGTGGTAATGGCTATGCAATACCGTAATTCATTTAATGTCTTACACTTTCTTCCCTTGGCACCATACATGCTACGTATGAAAATTCCTGCAGCATCAAGCCAGTTATCAAGCAAGGACACATTTCTCAAGCCAATCATCAAATTTGTTGAATCAATAAGGTTACAAAGTGTTGAATAAGTAGTCTTCTTCCCAACACCAAAGACTGAATTTGTAGAAACACATCCTGTTAATGCGTGCAGTAATGGTAAACACTGGCATATATTATTTCTAAGTTTAGAGACAATATTGTGAATGGAATAGAGCCTCCCCTTGTAGCATGTTTTCCGCTGTGGCCTGCATGCATAAATACTTTATTGGTCAATAGTCTCTGGCTCATGTAGTATAAAAGAAGAATCAGAACATCTGTGTCGTCAGAGCAAATGATAATCCTGGAAACTTGAGAGGAGAAGCTAGTGGCATGAAGACTCATTCTGGTGTCAGCCTCCTCTTGTGTACTGTGCAGCTCATTCAAGGTCTCTGTACCAGCAGCTGACACATTTATTAATATACCATCTTCTCTCTGGGAATAAATAGTTGACAATTGCTGGCATATACTGTAATGAGGTTTTTACTAAATCTTGAAGAATGTTTTAAAAAGAGACAGAAAATTATCAAATTCTCAGCTGAAAAAGCCTAAAATTCCTTAGTGATTATAAAAGGGTAAATGAACCTTTCAAATGTGTTTCATGTAATACCCTTAATGGAGAAAGTAGGGTATACCAATAGCTGATAAGTTTTCCAATACTAACTTACATGAAAATAACTCAATTTGTAAAAAAAAATAAAAATAAATAAATAAATAAATAAAAAAAATAAAAGCATGTCATTGTAAACATAGGGTAAAATCAGGATGTTGTATGCTTTTTAGGTTAGTACAACCATCATTTTCTATTAATAGGAAGGCATGAGCTTCGATTAAGATAGGTTGTACTTAGTTTTACTCCTGAGAGGGGCAGGCCACTTTTTATACTCCCTTGATCGCTGGACTACAATAAGTCAGTATCATCATCATCATCATCATCATCATCATCATAATAATAATAATAATAATAATAATAATAATAATAATAATAATAATAATAATAATAATAATAATAATAATAATAATAATAATAATAATAATAACGACACTGACATTGAGCACTTGGAATTACCAGCACACACCCGTAAGGACGTCAGAAAACTGCCTTACAGATTTTCATGAAACCTGATGACAGCACCCCCCTGTGGGAGTCCTGCTTGCAATCCTTTGTTTTCTGATCAGCTCCCCTCCCCCCCAAAAAAGTAAAAAATAAAAAATAAAATAAAAAATAACGGTAATGTGACACTGGGCACTCGCAGTTCCAATTATCCAAACCCCATTTAGGGGTGTTTTGAAAGGTATAAATAGGCCAAATGCACAAATCCCTTTTTTGTAATGTTATGCCATGCATTGCAATGCTACAAAGGAGGGCCAAATGGCACATAGAATTACTAAAAATGCTTAACGGTTCAGTTAAAATTCGATAAGGTCCTCATTAATTAAGTGCAGCTTTGGTTCAGGGTCTTGTGAAAGTATACAAAATTTTAATAATTAATGACTAAAATGTATATGTACAGTATAAAATATGGACATGGGATTGGTTAACATAATATAACAGTACTTGTAAGTTCCTGAGAGTAGAGGTAACAAACAATAAATGGAGCAGGTTCGTTGACTGCTTCAGGGAGGGTTAGGGTTCACATTTCAAGATTTTACATTACACAAATAATAAATAAAGGAAATTTGCTGTGAATAACGATGTCATTGTGGCACTTTGCATAAAAAATGATCAGTTAAATATAAACTAAACTCGTGTACAGTACTATAGATTATAACATTCAAATTTTCAGGTTCATCTCTTCAAACAAAACTACAGTTACAGAAATCTAATCCCTAAACTCTCAATACACAAATATAACACAATTATACACAACCAATGGTCACCGAATATAATCACTAGAGCAGTACTGATATACAAGACCTGAGTAAGTGTTTCCCTTGCTTAACAAATATATGTCTGCCTTACTGGAAGTCCGTAAGTCCGCCTCTCTTACCGGCAGCCCGACTGAGGGATCCCAAACCTACCACTATTTTGTGTGGAACTTAATTTGGCTCGTCCTCAACATAACTCTGAACTAGTTTTATTTTTTCTGAATACATTGCACTAAATTACACAGATCATCATATAACAACAATATCATAAACAATAACATTATATAGCAACAACATCAGATACAATATCATCTTATATCAGTACACTTTACATTCAAAAATATTAAGAAACGCTAACATTAAAGCCAACCACCAAATCGAGTACGCACACCAACACACACACGTAGGTAACAACTCAAGTACTCGTGACTTTATTCAGGAGTCTGGTCATGTATTTCACGAGTTCCCTCAGTGTTACAGAAAGACAAGAAATACACATTTGCATATTATTATACCTGTACAAGATTAATATTTTGATGCCAATGTTCAATATAAATGAATGTATCCGTTATTTATTGAGGGATGAAAGTCGTAAAAGGACACAGTATTTAGAGCCTCCAGGCCATCCCCTATCAACCCTAGATTAGGTGAATGCTTCGGATTCACGAGTCGATACTTCCCGGGTTGACAACGCCGATTGTAACAGTTGATAAAGTCCCCAACTGTACACAAATATGCTGAGTTCGAAGTTGGAGGAAGCTGGCAGTGAACCTATCCATGCTGAAGTTGATGCTGATGTGCTCATTACCAAGACGTCTGTAGAAAATGAAGAGTGAAACAGGATATTCTGATGATGTTGATGATGATACTGACTTATTGGTACTTCTTTGCTATAATGCCACCAATCTACCATGCAAACTGTATCTAAGACCAGAGCCTAAATCATCAACTAGAAAACTCAAAATATGGGACATAGCAGAAATAAAGAAAGGCCTCGAAGAAATATGTCGCAATATCTTATTTCTACATGCCCTTGATGGTTGCGACAACATATCAAAATCAGGTGGCATTGGTAATGGCGCCCCACTAGATATTTAGGAAGGACGAGGCATTTAGAAATTGTGCTGATTTTTTTAACCGGCTTTCAGGTTCGGTTTCAAAGGCACAGATAGTTACAGCAGGGGAACGCAACAATGACGCGCCTCTACAGCGCTGACCCACAGGAAGGGAGCATAAATCTGTTGCAGATAAATCTTTTTCAACAAAAAGTTTCCAATGCAACAATATATGTTGACAGTAAATCTTTGCCCCATTCACATAAGAATCCTTTTTGTTATTGTGATCGCAGTGAAAGACACATGCATATACCGTCGTGTTTTGTTGTTGTGTTACCTTTATTACGATATGAAACGGCATAGGAGTGGGAGACACATGGCTACTCACTCATTCATTCACTGAATGTCTAGCTACTTTGTATACCTGTATTGTTTATATACACGTTGAATCAATGGAAACTTTTAAGAAGAAATTTTATTAAACTCTCTCTCTCTCTCTCTCTCTGTCTCTAAGTTAAGCCGGCATGAGAAAGACGGTAAAGAGAAGAACGAGATCTTGGGGCACTCCAGTAGTGATGGAGTAGAGGAGAACTTCACTCCTCAACTGATGGGAGGTATACGAAGGGAGACACCCTGGTAGTAAAGAGAAGCATTCGTCCATCTCCACAAGAGGTTAACCTGATCTCTCTATCACACAGATTGCTCGCTGCCCTACGTCACCATGAACTTTGGCGGGCGAACAGGAAACAAAATCTGCCAGTACATGTCTTTGTCTTTGCTGAGGAAGGTGTTTGGCGTGCGGGTGAGTTGTCTTTTCTTCGTTATCATTACCATCATTATCTGTAATCCAATATATGTTACGTCATTTTTTGCGAAATAAACCCCTTTAAGAAAAGGCCAAGCAGCTGCTTTACTATTTATTGTTAAATGGCCAATTTCGCAAAAAAAAACTAAGCATAAGCAATGGTACGAGATCATCATATGAATCTCTTTTGTTAATATTCTGGGTCAATTTCCTTTCGAAATGTGTTTTTGCTGTGTTGATTTCTTGAGTAGCAACGTACAGTATATGGCTTTATTTTATTCTACTCTTTTCCACAAATCCATTTGTCCTCGGACAGTTTTTTCCACATGTGGAACTTTCCTGTAATGGCATTTTTGGCATTGTCCTTTGTCTACATCAGTGGTTTCTAAACTGGAAGTCACGAGAGGTCGTTTGGTCACCTAACCTTAGTGCTCGAGGTTTTCTCTAAGCTGAATAAAATCGTCTGTAGGTAGCCAGAATAAACTTCAGGGTTCGTAAGGTTAGATTTGCGGGTAAACACAAAATGTGTCCTTGACAGAGTCCAGAAGAGCTGCGTTGAAAGGAAATACTGCACCAATTGTCTTTAGACAATGCGAGGTTGTAAAAATAATATTGTGTATGTGGTATACCGGTACACTGTACACTCGGTTAAAAAAATTCATATCATTCAGAAGGGATCCAATGAATTGCGAACTGCACACCCCACACTCAGGGCAACCAATGTGAGGTATGCTTCGTGGGCCTTTATCAAAAACCTTCCTTTCGTGGCGTTATTTTGTTGCATAAGAATTGTAAAGATAGGATTTTTTTGCCGACTGTACTGTTCGGTGTGTATATACCCTGTTGCTACTGTTTTCATATGTTCATCATCATAATTGTTGCTTCTTGTTATAACCAAAAGGCATGGGTATGGACAGAGTCCACTCTGTGCTTAATATCATTTGCATTCAGTGTGAAATATTATTTCAATAAATCAATTGTATTTTCCTCCTATATCTTTTGTAATCACGCAATGCTGTATTTTTTTTTAGTTCCGTGATATGCATCATTATCCATATCAGCGAAGAAAAAAAAACACTGTGGAAGATTATCCTTCCTGTCGTGTTGATTTACGAGGTAACACATTCCATTACTAGTGCAGGTTCTGTATTACACTTTCGTGTATACTTTTGGGTGTCCGAAAATTTACACTTGATTTGACACTTAATTTTACTTATATCACTCTTAAAATCCAACAATAACACAGTTAGATATTTTTGATAGGAGACATTCTTCCTCAAGGAGCTAAATCCAAGAAAGGGAAACATTGAGCCAGGCATAACGTTGTATCTAGAATGCTTAAAATGACAATCTTGGTATCAATTTCGTCTAATTTTGACATGTATGATACGTTGGACAGGTCTATTTTACGATCGGCCATCATCTGCAACCGGAAATACAATAAGGCGACCATCGCTGAACACCAAAATACTCAAAATAAATAAATGACCTTACATAACTGGGAACTAAAAGTAGCAGAAATAATGCGAGTATTCAAATTAAGTAATAATTATCATACTATTTATTAGGGTGAATATACTGAAAAAAAATACAACCATCCACATACAATCATAAGATCATAACAATCACTGTACGTGAAAATTAATGGAGTCCATAACATTTATAAAACCCTTAAGAAATACATTGGTTATTCAGTAAATGAGCATAAACAAATAAACAATTAGTAAATAATTTGGTTTATTGTCCAGAACTATTGTTTTCATAACAAGAGAAGTGCAGGTACCACATACAAGGTAAAAATTTAATCGTGTCGTTTATGAAAAGAACATTTTATGTTTACAAATACTAATGTCCGCTGTACCAGGACTTCATCCTAACATGGAAAGTCAGAAGTACAATATGAGAGTGTGGGGTTATGAAGTGCTCTGACGGCCTGCCGCCTCATTCCCCTGGATAAAAATCCAGGATGTAGGCCTATAGGGGTGGGGGAAGTGCTGAGGCGGATCATCGGAAAATGCATAATGGAGGTGGTAAAGGATGATGTCAGGGCAGCAGCAGGGAACCTGCAAGTTTGTGCTGGCCACCAGGCTGGAGGGGAAGCTGCCATTCACGCCATGAGAACGATATTTGAGCAGCATGATTGTGAGGCCGTTTTCCTGGTGGACGCTTCAAACGCATTCAACATATCTAACCGCAACGCCGCACTGCACAACATCAAGATCAAGTGTCCAAGCTTTGCAGTGTATGTTGAAAACTCCTATAGGAATCCATCAGACCTCTGTATAGTAAACAACAAGTCTCTAAGAGGTGATACCATCATACAGTCAACCGAGGGAACAACGCAGGGGGACCCTGTTGCAATGGCAATGTACGCAATAGGCCTATCCGTGCTCCAACACACAATAAAATTTGAAACAACTGATGACCTTACAGGAGCAGGAAAAGTGGAGGACACCAAGAAGTGGTGGGACCTGGTAACATAGCGAGGTCCACAAATAGGGTACCACCCAAATGCCAGCAAGCCCTTCCTCATTGTGAAGCCAAAACATTATAAACGGGCAATGGAGGTAATTGGCGGAAGTGAGGTCAAAATAACAAAGGAAGGCCAAAGACACCTAGGCACAGTAATAGTCACGACTGAGTTCAAGACCGAGTACGGAACGGGAAAGGTGAATGAGTGGGTTAGGGAAATCCAAGCTCTGTCTGAGATTGCTAACACAGAACCACATGCGGCTTTTGCGGCATTCACCCCATGGAGTCAAGCATCGCTGGAACTACCTGATGCACACTATCCCTGATATTGGTCCCCTCCTCCACCCTCTGGAAGAAGCTATCAGCGTCAATTTCATTCCCAAATTATTGAAACACCCCCACTTAACCCCAGCACTCCTAGCACTACCACCGAGACTGGGAGGTATGGGATTGACCAATCCAGAGGAGATTGCTGCCACCGAACATCAAAACTCAGTTAAGCTAGCGGCAACCCTCACGGACCACATAATAGCTCAGACCGCAACAGGGGTGGTGGATGCCAGTGAAGTAAACAAGATTCGAAAGTCCATTACGAGAAGAACGACAGCACAGCCAAAGTGATAAGTTGTAGCAACTGTTGTTGCAAGTACCAGAGAATTAAAAAAAAGTAGCTATAGCGCAGGAGGTGGGCGCCTCGAACTGGTTAACTACGTTACCGATAAGGGCAAATGGTTTCAGTCTCAATAAACAAGAATTTACAGATGCCAACGCTCTAAGGTACGGTAGGCCAGTGGAAGGTTTGCCCTCCCAATGCGTGTGTGGCTCTTCCTATGACGCCGATCACTCCATGGTGTGCAAGAAAGGGGGCTTCAAATGTATGAGGCATGACGAAGTAAGGGATCTCACAGCAAATATGTTGAAGGAAATCTGCCGTGATGATCAGGGTAGAACCGACCCTCCTTCCATTGGACGGTGAGATCTTCCAGCATAGGACTTCAAACACATCCAACGAAGCCTGTGTTGACGTCAGTGCTCGAGGATTCTGGATGCGGGACAGCGAGCCTTCTTAGACATCAGGATTTTTGATCCCATGGCCGCATGTCACCGTAACATAGTTCTCGATGCTGCACACAGGAGGAATGTGAACGACAAGATAAGGGCATACGGGGAGAGAATTTAGAACGTTGATCAAGGAAGCTTCACTCCTATAGTGTTCACAACCTCTGGTGGGATGGGACCAAGTGCAAGATGCTTCTACGCCATACTCGCGGAGGAGATATCCGAACAGAAGCAGCAGCCCAGAAATTATGTTACAGCCTGGATGAAATGTTGACTGTCCTTCTCTCTCCTTCGGTCGGCTTTGCTCTGCCTCAGGGGAACGAGAGCATCGGCCCCAAAGCCGACAACAGTTGCAGATATTGACTATGAGGCTACAGTCACTGATTGCCGCATAGATCTGAGGCTCAACTAACTCAACACAGCTAGGATAACTACTTTTGTATTAGGATATTTACTATTAAGGTAATAAAATGGCGGCGAAGGTGTGGCTATTGGGGGAGGCTGGAGGCCACGTTTTAGAAGTAATAGTTTAATTTCCTAAGAAGTGGCTTTCTTTCTTTTGGCTGAAAATCACAGAGTGGATGCCATCAGACTTGTACCCACAGCACTTGGTGTCACACATACCACTGCATTCACATGTTCTCAGAAGTTATGCGGATAATACTTTCAGGCACTTAGAAGGCTTCAGAGAACCCTCCTTGCAATATTGTCCAATTCAAAATTAGTCGGCTTCAACATGTTCCCATTCTGATTGACAAGAAGGGTGACCACACCACGTATTACAGAGTATGACCTGAAACACCCACGGATCACACCTTTGACATTGGAACTTCGAGTATGACACTGAATTCACAACTCATCAAACGTCGAGGCCGTCGGTTTGAACCTTGAGCCTGATTCAAGGTTGGCTAAATAAGCCAGAGGATTCCCTAGCATGGTTCTATGCTTCAATGCTTCATACATATCTTATTAGGGGTATCATCACTGGTTGTAGCATGTATTTTAACAAGCACCTGGCAGAGTGCAACACCTAATTTCTCAGACAGAATGTGTAAAGGTATAAGCTGCTGCTTTTCACCCACCCCTTGCTCATTAAGTAATGGGCTATCAGGGTCGATTGACGCCACTATGACACGCTAAAACCACCTCTCAATAGCTTATTTGGTGTGAGGAATGATGTGACCAACCGCCTCCTCCAACAAGTTGCTGAGTTCTGCCAGGTCGGCAGAATGGACTCCAAGCTGCTCTTAAAGGCGTACTTGAAGGGCTTCATCGCTTATGTCCTTGATATCACGCATGACAGTGCCACGTGGAAACAGCTTCAGGTTAATTTTTTTGCAAGACGAGGACCAGAATTTCTCAATCTATTGAGGTAATAGGATTGTTTCGTCCATCACGGACTCAAATTGTGCAGCCCGACGACTATGCTCACACTTTGTTTTATCGACAGCTCATTGTAGCTATCA